GAGGATGCTAAATTTAAAAAAATAAATAAGTAAAAAACTTCTTATTGAACTAGGATTTCCTTGTTAGCTAATAGAAACATAGATAATGGGCACAGATTATAAAGAAACAGGTACTCTAATTTAGACACTTCAGCTAGAAGTGAAAATGAAAAACAACAAAAAAGTTCAGAGCAAAGCAAGAAAACCATTCAGGACATAATCTAAAAGAGAGAAAAATGAAATATAGAAGTCTCATCAATGTTAATTAAAGGAAATCAATATTTGAAGAGCTGGCTTGCCTAGTAACAGAATAAAGGGCAAAGATACTTCACAAATGTGCACCTACCTCTCAGAAAGGAAATAGTAGGTTTTCGTGGGGGAGCAGTCATGATTTAATAACCTTTCAAAAGATGACTAGCTAGTGACCTGTTCAAGAGGGGCCTCGAACACCTGTTGGGAAAGTAAGATGAGCTTCCTGCTTGGTAGTCTTCAGTTTCAATTGTATTCCCCCAACTTGGGAGCTTTCGAGAGGTGAGGGAGCTGAGAGTAGCCAACCTTTCTCCCAGAGGCACTTGGAACAACCCCTTAACGTCAGCTTGGGTTTTGTCTCAGTTATTACCTATAAACAATGCACACTAGAAACTATGAAGAGCCTGACAAATGCAACAGAGTTGTTATTATGCAGATAGGCTGTCCAAACATCCCAGCAAGCTTTCTGCTCTCACCTGTCTTTGTGATCCACGCGTGATCAAGCATCAGTCATCAGAATCCACTGCTTTCATGTCCTTCCTTTTCAGGCTTGAAAAATGTGAGACCGTGGTGTCCCCATTTCCTTCTCTCACACCAGTGCCAGGGATAAACCATCAGTCATGGCACTGAGCCTTTCATTTATTCACTCAACAAATATTTTGTGAGCATTGTCTTAGTATATGTTCTGTGACTGCAGCAAAACACCCTAAACTGGGTAATTTAGAAATAAAAGAGTTTTATTTATTTCATAGTACCAGAGGCTGAGGAGTTTAAATTTGAGTGGCTGCATCTAGCCTAGTGGGTGACATCATATGGCAGGAGCAGATGCCGGAGCCATGAGTGGGTACATATATACAGAAGAGAGCTTAGATGCAAGAAAGCAGAAAGAACCAAGCTTGCTTTATAAAGTTCCAATCTCATGGTAACTAATTGAATTCCAAGAGAGAAACTCATTCACTGATGCAAGATGGCATTACCGCATTCCTAAGGAGTCTGTGACCCCAGTGCCTGCTAGAGGCCTTGCCTCCTCTCAACACATGACGTGGGGGAGCAAGCCTCAATGTAAGTTTTTGTGGATTCAAACCATAACAAGCACCCGCTTACAAGCTAATTTTAGAGACAAATTAGCAATAAAATAAAAACAGTACCACAAGATAAGTATCAGGGAAAAGATGTTGATGTTGACTGTAAACATTAAGCCCGGCTCAGTCTTCTGAAGTATGTTGTAGCTTTTCCCAAGACAGTAAAAATTAGTCTTTAAATTGTCAGTACTGTTGGAGGTGCAGCAGCACAACTGTTCTTCATGGATCTGAATTAATTTCCAAGGAACTTGCAAAGCGTCATAGGAAATATAGTTTCTGGATGCCACCCACCAAGAAAGTGAGTTGAGTGTGTTTTAAATCACTATGTTGTTATCCCACAAGTGCCTCTGATCTAGAGGAAAGAAAAAAAAATTGGAGTGAATCTTATTGCCTTTTGGTTTAAGTACACTGGGTACTATTTCATTGTCAAATTACTCAATCAGGAACACTTAAAAAATGCTGGAGTTGCGTTAGTCATATCTTTTCCACCTGAACAACAATGTGCGTAAGACTGCTGGATTGTTGTTTTTGTTCTGATTTTATAGTGTAGGGAGTGTGTGGAAAAGAGCATATTTGATAGATGTGGACAGCCAGCTGAACAGAGTTGGCAGGAGGGCTGGCATGCATTCATTTTTCCTATGGGCGCTCACCTGGAATTGTCTTTATAAGCCTTCCATGAGACATGTTGTGAGGCACTGGAAGCAGTCCCCTGCTCCGTGAAGAGGGAGCGTTATACAGGTAGGAAGCCTAGGAACCCACCCTCTGGGACTCTGGGCCAAGGCCTTGGAGACTGCAACTCAAAGAGGAGATCAAATTTAAAAAAAAAAAAAAAAAACAATCTGATGCGTGGGTAGAGACAGATCAAAAGGACAACTTGGCTAGGTCTGTTTCTGATGCATATATTAGGAACTATAATTCGCGGCAGCTTCCCTGATCTCCTATACCTAAGTTATTATCCCTGCATCTTAGAAACAGGCAAGGGTTCATATCTGTATCTGAGGTTGCTAGATATTTCTATAACTAAGATTCCTTGGCAGTGCCTTCATCTGGGGATGGAGATTGTTTGAGACAAGTCTTTTTAGATCTTTGAGGATTCCACAAAGCCTGCAGCTGTGGTGTTTCCTCTGTGTCTCTCATTGAGCGCTTGTGAAAAATTCCAGATCTTTGCTACCACTTCTTTACATCCCCTTCTCTTCCAAAGTTGGAGAATTCTAGCATCTTGCTGGGTCTTCATAGAAGAACAAGGAGTTTTCCCAGAGATGTGCAGCAAACTTGTCTTCCTAGAGCACAGTCCTTAGTTTGTCTAAAACTAAGCTGCTAGGATCCAAGCCTGCCACGAGTTCTTCTTGCCTCTCTCCTTTCAGGTATTGTGGTCCCACCCACCCCCCAATTGTGAGTGGATATATTATTTGCACAGAACAAACATTTTTAGTTACTTGATTACTTTCACCACCAGTCTTGGTGCCTTAGCTTTGCTGTGTGATTTATGCCTGAGAATGTTTTTGTTCTGATTCTCCTCAGTTCTGCACTTGCAGGATTTGGCAGTAGATCAGAATGGGTCCTTTTTCCTATCTTTTAAAAGACTACTGCTGCTGGACCACCCCCTTCCTCACCTCCCTGCTCCCACAGTCTGGTGAAGCAGTTAACAATATTAAGGCTGTCACTGGCAGCTGACAGCTTTCCCCATGTCCTACAGGGGCTTGCATTGACTTTAAAGAGGCACTTGTCATGCAGATTACAGAGAACACTAGCCCCAAAGGCGCAGGCACGGGAATTTTGCAATGGGAACAGCTGTTGTCTTATTCAAAGGAAAGTTCCCAGATTAGGGAAGAGTTCATTTGACCACCTAATTTGAGCCAAGTAGTGTGCTGGAGATGTCCCAAAGATCCTTTGGTTGGGAATGCCTCCAGTCAGGTTTTCCACTGCCTGCTGTGTCAGTGAGGGGCCTAGCCTGTGTCATGATGTGGCAGTGAAATAGTTGAAACTTATCTGTATTTTGTGACTCAAGTTAGGCTGCACTCACCTTTGGGTGTAGGAGATCCTTAGAAATTCTTCTGAGTGTTTTGTTCAATTGTCTGGTACTGTCACTCAGTTGCTGAGGTTGATTCAGTTGGAGGATGATAGCTAGTATGGATGAAAGTCCAGGGGTTCTTCCCTAGGAAATCAGAATGCATGGTTAGGGGGCAGGGGCAAGAGAGGTCTTCAGTCGCTCCCCACTTAGAAGGGTGAGTCCTTCTGGTGAGTCTCTGAGCAGCCCAGGGAAGTGAACCTGGCACTGTGTCTGGGAGATCCAGCATTTTGTCCCTGCATATTTGAGCCACCTACTCAAAGACACAGTTGTGTGCCCATGTCTTCCAGAACACTCAATCCAGCATCCCCACCATACTGTCAGAACTTACCTTGATGTCTCCCAGTTCAAAAGGGTTTCCTTCGGATGTCTAACTGCTTTTGCCATCAGCTTGGTTTTCCCTGATGAGCCTTCCTCTGTGCCTCCTCACATCATTCCCACCTTGGCAATCACTGGGGAGTTGAAACTGAAAGACACAGGGCAGTGTGTGTATTGTGATCCCCACCCCACCTCAACATCCCACAAATGCAGCTACTTGCAGACACCTATTTCTGAGGTGCTTAAGAGATTCATAAATATCCCGAAAGCTCTTTGACATGTTCTGGGATAATAAACTGCACCCCAGAAGATTCTATCACATAGTTTGAAAACCTAAGGTATACATTTTTTCTTTCACTACTTATAAAGGCTATGCTGATGCAGATCTAATAACAACAAAAAAATTCTCTCTGATGAAATCAGGATAAATAATTCCACACATCATCAAGTGAAGAAAAGAAAGGTTTCGAATTGGTTTCCATGGAAATCTGAAGATGAAGTAAAGTAATAATTTCAAGGCACAACAACAGAATTGAAGATAATGGTAAAATAGTTTGATAAAGAAAATAGAATAAAGTAATCAAGAAGACTCCAATCAATTATTTCTTTTTCTTTACCTTCAGGTGATTAATTTGACTGAATTTATTAACGTGATGAGATTAAGCAGGCCTTCCTTGTGATTTATTTTGTAATTGTTTCCAAGGTTTGACATAAGCTGTGGAGTTATTGAAGGTGGAAATTTAAATTCAATTACTCATGAACCAGGTGGTACTTCTCCTGAAAGAATAGCTGAATTTGTGGCTTTCCCATGTAACATTATAAGTGAAAATTATTAATTTATTGGATAGTATCTCCCAAAGACTTTTAGAAGTCATTTAGCATCCGCATACTTCACTAAAAGTCAGCAGCTGCAGAACTGTACTTGTAATGCAAGCAATTCATTGGATGATAATAAAAGATTTTATATTAAAATACTAGTATGTATATATATGTATATATGTGTGTATATACACACACACACACTTTTTTTTTACTGGAGTCTCTCTTGGCATCTGGGCTATAAGCTATCATTAATGGAATTCATTAGCTTTTCAATGTGAAAGGGATAGGTTATTTTGAACTTGACCAGTGGTTCCCACGCTCTATCTTTGAGGGATACCACTGTTTTGACAGAGGAGAGAGGGGGAGAAAGAGAGAGAGAGAAAATGAAAGTCTTTAAATGAATAACTACTTTTTGTCTCTGATTCTTGTTGTATGTATACATATATATTTTTCTCTATTTCTCTATTTTTCTGCGGGTATAGTAATGATAGACGGGGTTCTGCAAACACTAATTCAGGCATCAACTCTCCATCATCCACAAAGGCCCAGAATGCATCGAAGAGTGGGAAGTAAGTGAAAAGTACCCCTCTGATTCTGACATCATTCTCACACAGCCATGTGATGTTCTTGTTTTGTCATTCATTTGTATTCAACAATGGTTTATGAAATGCATTCTGTGTGCCTCACACTGTGCTAGTCAATTGGGAATTGCAAAGAGTAATGCATGTGGCACTAGTATTAAATGCATGAATGATGAAAGAAGGGAAGGGAGGAGTCTGAGAAGACTTTTTAGGGGCTGTGAAGGACAAGGGCTGTGAAGGACAAGGACATGAGTCCATAAGGGCAAGGTAAGATCTGAACTATGAAGTTTCAAGATGTAAAGAGAAAAGGAGCACAAGTGATTCATTGTTTTATGATTCGCAAAAGCTATGAAAATCTGTCTTTGATTCATATACTGAGCTTTAGGTTTGAGTTTGAAGAATCTGAAAAACCATTATATAAATTTTCTGGTTTAAGTACATTTACATCTCAACCATGTTGCTGATTTACATGATTTACTCTTTACCTAGTTAATAGCATGCACCATTTCCTGTACTTTTTGGTATTGCCAAAGCTTGTCTTGGCTGAATATTTGTGATATCAGATTTATGTTTTTGAACATATTCCAAAAGACAACATTGGCTGACCCATCCATTTTGATTCCACAAAGCCTGGCGGTGTGACGTGGTGTCAGCCCATACATAGGGCATGCCTTTAATTAGGTACTTCCCTCTTGAAGTGGCTACAACTCTCTGGTGACTAACCCAGGCTCCCTGTGAGCTATCTGCTTGACAGGGTGAGGCTTTTTTTCAGGCAGAAGCACACTCAGCTTGCATCTAGGAAAAGATGAAAGATGCCTTCATCATGCTAACAGCTCTAATCAAGCAATAAGATATGTTGCTACAAGAGCACAACTTTGCAATGAAAGGTGAATGTGTAATGGTCACATACTTTATGTATTCAGCATTGGACTATAAATGCCACACTTTGAATAAGATCTTATATTCAATTCCCAAAGTGAGAGATCTATTGGCTGCTTTTCTCTTTCTTTTTCATCTCCTTCTGAATACCATTTCAGGTTTGCATATAAAGCTGAATGCAGGCTATCTTGGTGAATATAAAAAGCATTGGTTAAGATGTAAGACTAAATCTTGGAGTGGTTAGAACTCATTTCAGTTATTTATTGCTAAACGCCACCATCAAAATGATATATAAATTATAAAAGAGAGGAATTGATGCATGCATTCCTGTGCAACTGAATGTTTCCAAATTAGTCCCAAGCCATTGTAAGCACACACTGTCAGTTAATAGATACAGCTCTAGAGAGTGGCTGTTAACTCCATGTTGGCGGAAATAGCAGACTCGACCTGGCTACCATGTACACCTCTTCATACTGCTGATTTCAGGGCCCAATCTCCATCTGTTAAACTCTGATGTATAGTTATGAATGCTTGTGATCAGCTATTGCGTTTTGAAGGGGGTGATGTTTTGTCTTGCAAGAATTCAGTCTTATATCTTCTGAATGAAGACTCTGGTTACAAGCTACAAAAAAGGTGCATTTGATAAAATTTGGCTTCAGATGATATAGAGAATACGTATCTAGTACTATATGCAGGTTGTTCACAGTAGGAGCCCTGAATAAATGCATTCTCAAGTAGATAAACATGGATCTTATTTCACAATTGCTGTATTTGGACACCTCAAGCTTCTGCCATGTGGTGTCTTTTACCTGTCATTTGTAGAAACTCACAAATTGACTTAGTCTGTGTTATTTTTTGTTGATGAGCAACATAAAATCAAATGTGCTGCAAGAATCACTTCAGAGATGTATGTGTCAGAGCCAGCGTTGTGGCACAGCTGGTAAAACCTCTGCCTGTGATTCTGGCATCCCTTATAGACATTAGTTCATGTCCCAGCTACTCCACTTCTGAGCCAACTTCCTGCTAATGGCCTGGAAAAGCAACCCAAGCCACTAGTCCAGGTGTTTGGGCTGCTGCAACTCCAATGGGAGACCCAGCTGAAGGTCCTGGTTCTGAGCTCCTGGCTGCTGTGGCCATCTGAAGAGTGAAACAGCAGTTGGAAGAGTCTTTCTCTCGCTCTCTCTCGCTCTGGCTCTCACACACTCTCTCTCTCCCACCCCATCTCTGTTTCCCTCCCTCCTTCTCTTTCTATCTCTGTAACTGCACCTTCCATGTGAATAATTTTGTTTTTAAAAAGCCCTCCCTCTCTGTTTCATTTTCAGCAGGTTTTGTGGTTTTATTGTGTTGTGGCTCTATTTCTGCCATGGCACCGTTCTCCTTTTCATAACAGCTTTGTCACCAGGAGAAGCAGTGACCTCCTACAGTTGTGGTGAGCCTCTTGATGAGCTAGGTGTGGGGGAGGGCATTTCCCACACTGTCTAGAACAGGCTCTATCAAAGTATACATCCCACATTACAGTGCAGAGGGTTTTCATTTATACTTCTGACTACATTGTCTGCATAGCTGTGTGTGTATGTGTGTGTGTGTGTGTGTGTGTGAGCACGCGTGCGCATTTGTGTGTGTGAGGCATGGATGATAGATTGAGTTCTCCACTCCAGGGCTTTCCCCCATGGTGCCTTTGCACAGTGGCCTACACAGAGGGTGCTGTGCTGCTCCATTCTCAGATATCCTTTGACCTTGACAGTGGGATGTGGAGCAGTCGCTATGAGTTTTTTTATATTCCTTTGAGCCAGGTATAGCCTGGGAGGTAGAGCAGTGTTTTTTGTTTTTTCTTTCTTCTTTTTGAAGAAATAGAAAAAGTCAAGCTACTTCAAATATACATTATAACTAAAAAGAATAATAACTAATGGGTACTCAGTGAGTGCTTTGAATCAGTCGTGTCCTGAGCACTTGACACATGTTTTTTCTCATTCATTCTCACCCATTTAAAAGCTCATGAAACAGGCATCATTATTTCTGTTTTGCCCATGAAAAAATTGAGGATCAAAGAGGATAATGCCCAGCTGGGGTCTCCAAATGAAGAGTTTTGATGGAAAACTTAGCACAAATATTAATAGCGTGACTGTCTAAAGTATGTTGAGCATCTACTTTGTGCCATAATGCTTGAGGTCACATAGATAAGAGATAATAGGTCCTATTCATATCTTAGTAGGGAAGAGGAAGGATGATGACCTGGTATTTAAGTACTATAATTACATCATCACTGCTGTTGGAGCCAAAATAGTCTCCCCTAACCAATGCCAAGGTTAGGGTGGTGAAGAGGTCATGTACGAATATGAATGAATGCTGGAATCCTTTCATTTTTGTCCACTTACCCTCAGGTAGCAAGGTGAGGTCAAATGAAGAAAATGGAAACCACAATCATTCAGTGGGGATGAATACTCTGTGCGTTGGTGAAAGCAAGTTGTGAATTTGGTCCAAGCTTAAAAAAAAAAAATGAAGGTTGTTTAGCCTGTGTCTTCTTCTGATTTTTAATCCAGTTGAAGTCTACCAAGATTTCAGTACAGCATGTGTGTTTAGGAGACTTACTGCTTGGAGTTGTTTCAGTTCTGCTTGTTCTGTTTCAGTGCCTGGGTCTGGAGCTGGGTCACTATTCCTGCCCCTCCCTTTTCAGGGATGAACAGATGGAATAGGCTGTCTGAACAGAAGAGCCAGAACGCCCTGGCAGTAGTGTTCAGGGAAGTACAAGCCAATTCTTCTTTGTGGGCAGTGAGCCAAAATGACAAGACAGTAAACACAATCAATGTAGAGCTATAGCACTGAGATTGGGAAGCGTGGATTTTGCAGAGGTTGACACACCACTAACAAGGTTGTGCCCCTGTACCTCACATACAGTTCTCTTTGGAAACGTGAACCTGTTCTTCTGGCCAGCAGAGTGGACCATGATCAATGCATGTATTGACCTGCTGGAGGGGCCTTCGAAAGCACTTGGATTGTCAACACTGAGCATACCTGGTAGCTACAAAGAGCCTTTTAAAAAATATTTTTGTATCAGCACATATTCCTAGTTTACATGGTACCAGTGCCTTTGCTAAACAGGTAAGGACACTTCGACTCAGAGTCACGTGTCTAGACACTAGCAAGTGACAGCCTAGAATCATGCTTTTAATATATGTTCAATGCACATTGCGCTACAGTCCAATGCACATTGCACTACAGTCCATCATAGTTATCTCAGAGAGTGAGTTATTTGAGCTAATCACACCAAAGAAGACCAGCAGCTAGGTGTCAGGCAGCAGATAGTTGTCAAGATGTCCAGTTGGGTGCCTTTTCTTCCATAGTCTGTGGTGCTTGTGTGAATGGACTCCATTAGTCACTGTATAAGTAGAAACTTCTTGGAGAAAGCAGAATGATTGTACTTGTTGCAACCACAGTGAGGAAAGGAAATACATGCATTTCTAGCATACTTGACATTTTCTCTAAAATAGCATCATTCTGGGTTCTGTTGGGACCATCATCCTTTCTCAAGATTATCGTTGAGCTTAGCAAGAGTCTTTATAATATCCTGGCATCAATGAAGCAAGAAAACAATAAAGACCTGGGTCACTTTTCTCCCTCATATTAGTTAATCAAGACTGGGAGAACACACACATACAAATACATTCACACACGACAATGTAAACAGATGCTTCTGAATGTTGAATATATATTTAAGAGTTAGATTCCTTGAAGTTGCACATTCAGCAACAAGGGCCAAGTCCAAACTAAAATGCTAATGAAGGCCATGTGCATTATAGGATTATTGCAGAGAAATCAAGCAATAAATCAACCTTACATGCTGATTTAAGTACAATCAAGGTGTTGGCTCTCATGAATTAAACTAGGGAAAGAGGGGTGCAGCTCTGGAGAGAAATGAGTATAGAAGAGGACTATGAGGTGATCAAATCGCATTTCGATGACTTCACAGATCTACATGGGACTGAACTTGGTGGCAGGTGCCACAGTCAGACTAGCATTAACTTGGTTTTACCAAAAGTGTCTCATAGTGAACAGCCCTGTTTATTTAAACAATGTCTTCATGAACAGAGTGGGGAGCACATAGCTTTAGG